TGGCGCGAGGCGGGCTTCGTTTGGCCGAGTCTCGCACGCAGCTCCCCGCAGACCCCGCTAGTGGCAGCTACGCCACCCGCGGGCCCCGGTGTCAGGGGCTTGAATGAGGCGAGCTCCAGCTGCGGCCTTTTCTCCAGGCCTGGGCCTACTCCCGGGGCCCTGACTCGCCCTCCTGCGAAACCGCCTCCTTCTAGAGCGTTCTCTGTTTACTGGCCTGGAAGGCCTAGGATAAGTGACAGTGGAGGAAAGAACGGTGCCTTGGGTGGGGTAGGCCGTTTGTCTTCTCTAAATTCGGGTGGCTATTCCGGGCATTCCTGCTGTCAGGAGCCAGGCGGAGGATCCTCCTCCGGTGGTCACTGCTGCTTGGATCAGCCTCCCTATGCCGGTGACCTGGGGTTTCCACCCACAAACCACTGTCTGGGTTAGAAGCTGCCGTACGAAGACTCTTTTTCCCATTCCGACTTCCCGGGGGAATGCTTGGGCAGGTAGAGGGTCTGGGGTCATTGGCTTAATTGAGGTGATTGCATCCCTGTGCATGGTTCCATCCTGACGACAGGTGAGCTGGAGACTGGAATTTATGTACTTGAGGGCAGGGGTTTGCACGTCCACTCCTGTCTTCCCTTCAATTCGTCATTTTTGCTCCTGCCTGCTCCAAGCTCCAGTCGCTCACTGCCTTCCCTTGCTGTCAGGGATTTACCCACACTGGTTCATCCAGCCCCATTTCTTCTTGCTTCAGGCCCTTTCACATGCCATTCCTGCTGCCTGGAGTGCTCTGCCCACCTCCATTACCTTGGCCGAGGTCCCTTTGGAAGTGACCCATGACACTGAGTCAGCGTTCTGGTCTAAGTGGCTTTTATAGTTCCCTGTGCTTCAGCGCTGTTGTGGTTGCAGTGTGCTTATTTGTGTGGTTATTTAACTTTTTCCTCCACCAGACTGCTTCGTGAAGGCAGGGTCCTCGTGTCCACTACTGTATCCCCATTACTCAGTGCCTGGCACGTGGCATCCACTCCTTACAGCTTTGTGGAGTGATTCACACACACAGTCTAAAGAGGAACAAGAGTTCAGTGGGCCTCCTTCACTCAAGTGCCGTGTCTGCTTCAGCCCAGCCCCATGTCCCTGCTAGAGAAATCTGGGGCTGGAGGTAAAGGAGCAGAGAGCACAGTATCCGCTTGATTAGCCTGGAAGTTGGGCTTCTGGCACCCTGACCTCTAATCCTTTCATAATTCCCAACAGGTGTCTCGGCCAGAACACGTGGATGCCCACCCACCACTGAGCCTCATGGTAGGAAGCTTGACTGCCTCCTCCTCCTCGCTTGTCCTGTGAAGGCCCACCTCCTGCTCTGCCCACTGGGCCTGGGCTCAGACCCTACCTTGGCCCTTGCTGGGCTTAGGAAGGCCCCATTGCCCCCATCCCCAAGGTAGTGAGCAAACCCCTGCCCAAACCAGGGCCTAATTGAGGCTCTTGAGGGGGGTGGGTTGTATGACCACCGTGGACTGGGTTCCTCCTCCCCGAGACTACCCCTCCCCAGAATATTAGAGGCAGAGGAGTCCTGGTGAGCGTCTCGCCTAACCCCATGGTGCGCCTGCCTGAGGCATGTCATGAGGCAGTGCCAGAAGGGGGCTGGCACCCAGGGATTCCTGGGGTGCTGGTGTATGTCCTTTCAGGAGGTGGTAACATTTGGCGATGTGGCTGTGCACTTCTCTCGGGAGGAGTGGCAGTGTCTGGACCCTGGCCAGAGGGCCCTCTACAGGGAAGTGATGCTGGAGAACCACAGCAGTGTGGCTGGACTAGGTGAGGCTGCACCTTGGGGCCCTTCCCCTGCATCATCAGTCAGCACCCACCCAGCCAGGCTCCATTGGAGGCCAAACACTCAGACCCTTTTGGGCTCCATAGCGGGCTTGGACTCATGAGTGGTGTGCCAGGCTGGTTCCTAGCTTTGCCCGTGTCATGGGGTTCAGCCCCCAGGGAGTGGGTGGGATTCTGGGAGTTAGTAAAGCCTCTTCTTTTCCTAAGCTGTTAAATTGTGGAAATAGAATCCAAACTTGAAATAGCTTAGACAAGAAAAGAGAAATGATTGGGTGGAAGAATCCAAGGCAAAGGTTGTACAACCAGAGCAAGAGGTGGCAGTGCCCATGCGGCTGCTATGCAGATGCTGTCATCCCCTTGCCCCTCCTGTCCTGCCGTTAGTCTTCCTTTCTGAACTCCTCCATTGCCACAGGCAGCCACTACAGTGCTCTTTATGTCCGTGTCTGTATTCTCACAAGGTGTGTGCTGTCATTAGATTGCAACTTGATGAAGGGGGGTGTGTCTGACTTGGGCCTCACTGGGCCTCTTGCCTGTGACTAAGCTCTCTGCTGCATCAGACCCCGAGAGAGTGCCTGGGCTGGGGGATCCGGAATGGAATTGATGGGGCATAGTTGGTTGGCCAGGAGCTTTTTGGGGTGTTGGACCAGGCCTGCACCCCTCTGTCTTGGCTAGGCTGGCAAAGTCCAGCTTTCTGTTTTGCCAGTCAGATAAGTGTACAGTGGGAGGCTCTTGTGGTTTGAATTTGCATTTCTCTGATTTCTGCTGAGCTTGAGCCTATTTTCACACCCTCATTAGTTTGCTAGGTTCTTCTGTAAAATGTCTGCTCAGGGCATTTGTCCATATTCTAGGTCTTCTGTGTTTTACTGCTTTGAAGGTGGTGTTTCTTCATTCTGTCTAAGATGCCTTACGTTGTAAAACATGTAATTATGTCCACATCCTTATTTTAAGGAAGGTGAAATGCTACCGATGACATGCTTTTTTTTTAGCACTTGATTTTATTGTATACTTTTTAAAGAGCTCTCTTAGACTCATTTAGACCTGGCTTACCCTGTCTCGCTGAAATAGAAAGGAAAAGACGCATGTCCTGAGGGTCCTTTTTTTTTTTTTTCCCCTCCCCGAGACTGAGTCTCGCTCTGTCACCTACCCTGGAGTGCAGTGGTGTGATCTCGGCTCACTGCAGCCTCCGCCTCCTGGGTCCAAGTGATTTTTCTGCCTCAAACTCCTGAGTAGCTGGGACTGCGGGTGCCTGCCACCACACCCGGCTAATTTTTGTATTTTTAGTAGAGACAGGGTTTCACCATGTTGCTCAGGCTGGTCTCGAACTCCTGACCTTGTGATCCACCCGCCTCGGGCTCCCAAAGTGCTGGGATTACAGGCGTGAGCCACCGTGCCCGGCCAGAGTAAGGGTACTTCTAATGTTTCTTCACAGCTTTTAGTGACCCACTCTCTGGGTTGGTTATCTGTGTCCATACTTTCGACGTGATGGCAACCTGTGGGCCTGGCCATCAAGGGGT